CAGTTGAAATGCGGCTAATAATTTCTGACTGGCACATAACTGAACAAATGTAAACGGGTTAAGGCGGGGCCCCTGGGCTGCAGCCCATTCAAGCCCAATGGTAAGTCCGGCCATGATTATTACTACTACTACTACTACTAATTTTAATTATTCTATTTTACTAAATATTCAGTCTAATAATCATAATCATAATCATCCTTTAGTTATCAGTAGTAAGTAGTAGTAGTAAAAGTACAATTATTATGATTATTATGAATAATATTACTACAACTACTTATTAATAATTTTATTATTGTTGTTGTTGTTGTTATTATTATTATTATTATTAAGTTGATTATTTTATAAAATAAATAATAATAATAATAATTATTATTATTATTAATCATACTACTACAACTACTTCTACTACTAACAACTAATAATTAAATTATTATTATTATTATTATTAAGCTATGATATGATAAAATATGCTAGAATATGTTTCTATATATAATATTTATACTAATATATAAATATTGATATTATTAATAGCAGTAGTAAGATTATAATTATTCATTTTATTTCTGCTACTGACTAATAATAATAATTTATGAATACTATATTAATATTATTAGCAACATAACATTTTATAAATTATTATTGTTATTATTATTAAAGCTGAATATGATCAAATATAATAATAATAATAATAATAATGTATTAATACTACATTAATATTATTAGTAACATGAGCCAGTTTTGTACCTGAACCTATTTTACTATATACTTATAAGTATGTTTCAGTAACTCCATAGACACCGGTGCACTTTGCTTAACACAGTAAGCAATGTCTCTGCCTGATGTCTCACCCGGTTGTAGAAGGGATGTTGGGGTCCCGTAAGCCCACTAAAGTAGCTGCTGTGGGGTTGAGCGGCCGGCAGCACTCCAGCAGGGGGGAAAGAGCCAGGGAAAGAGCCTGTGGGAGAGCAGGCCAAAGAGTGCTGCCCAAATGTGGAGTGCGGCCGTACCGAAGCATCTTGCAGGGGCAGTGTGGGATAGCTGACTCCTCCAAGGTGCATCTGCTCTCGTGCATCTCGTACATCTGAAGGGAGGAGGGAAAAACACAGAGAGAGAGAGAGAGAGACAGAGAGAGAGAGAGAGTAGGAGAAAGTTAGATCCGAATCTTGGCCAGCACTTTAAAAGCATTCAAATCCTCCCACTCACAGTCGACTTCAGCCAAATGAAGCATTTATAGTATGTTACATGTGAGGAAAGAAAGGCCTCTGTGGTTTGATTCCCTTAGAAAAACGCTGATTTTTCCCAGCAGAAGCAGCCAATCGCAAACGCACCTGGAATAAATAAACGTGGCTCCCAATGAAATCCGCATTCGCTTTAGCGTCAAAGTCTCAAGGGCTGAAACATACGTCAGAATTTGTTTGGTTGGAAATAATATTTCTGAGTCACCCAGGCAGACCAAATAAGACTGGCTGGGTGACTCAGAAGAGGAGCAGCTCATCGGGCTTCAGTGATGTTTCATTTCCTGAGGTGAACACAATGGAGACCTTACTCATCTCTCTCGGTTCACAAAGAAACCTTTATTACACAGTCCATTGTCACATTGCACCAAGCAACGTCTGCTGTCTCAAAGCACGGCGCAGCTGACCATTATCATGTGATGAGATAATATCATCTCTCATATTTGCAATGATTTAGAGAAATCCACAGCAATATATTTAGCACTGTGTGCATTTACTTATCTGTAATTAGGGACACAAATAGCTAAATCTAAGAAAAGCCAGGAGACATCCTCAAAATATAAAAATTAACCTTCTGTATATGAAATTAATTAATTTATACACACTATAAAAAGAATCAAGCTATACATTCCTGTAAATGTAACATTTTGTCAAATAGTGTTGACTGTCACCGGAAAAATTTCTAGTTAGTGTTTATGTAGCTGAGTTTTGGTAAGTTAGTAGGAATTCTAGCTTTATATTAAAACAATGTCCTTCATTTATAGCTAGACAAACATGTTTGTGTGGGTCTGTACCTGCGATGATCTCCCTTAGTTTGGGATCCAAGTTGACGGTACAAGGCAGGAACATCTCCACCTCACGAGCGGTGAGAACAGGGGTGTGCGATGAGAGAAACACCTCAAAACTACGAATATCACCATCGATCTCCAACAGAGGCTCCACATCTTTAGTAGTGGGGATGTTTTTAGAAATCCTGCAATGAGATAGTGACAATTAACACACAGAAACAGCAAACGTATAGACTGTCACCGGAAAAATTTCTAGTTAGTGTTTATGTAGCTGAGTTTTGGTAAGTTAGTAGGAATTCTAGCTTTATATTAAAACAATGTCCTTCATTTATAGCTAGACAAACATGTTTGTGTGGGTCTGTACCTGCGATGATCTCCCTTAGTTTGGGATCCAGGTTGACGGTACAAGGCAGGAACATCTCCACCTCACGAGCGGTGAGAACAGGGGTGTGCGATGAGAGAAACACCTCGAAACTACGAATATCACCATCGATCTCCAACAGAGGCTCCACATCTTTAGTAGTGGGGATGTTTTTAGAAATCCTGCAATGAGATGTTGACAATTAACACACAGAAACAGCAAACGTATACCAGTTTCAGAAAATCAACAGCTTTTGAGGCTATTTACAATATTTTAAATGTGGGGGAATAAAATGTAAATAATTGTACCATTAACTCTCTGGTGCTGTTCAGACATTTTTTATTTAATTAATTAATTTATTTTAAGTCATTGGAATGGTACAAAACTTGGTAAAGGTTTTGCCACTTTGTATGTGATCACCAAAAAATCACGAACATTCAGAAAAGTTAAATGGTCCTGAAAAAACAATCAGACTTGTATTGTTCGCGGTCAAAAATGACTATAATGGAAATTAATAGGAAGTGAAGTTCATCTAGTGGAAACGTTTGGTATTGAGCTCAAACAAAATCATACTGAAAGCTAATTTTTTGAGATATCAACTTCAAAATTGCAACACAACTTGTTTAGTTTTATTTATGGCTTTTATTAGCAATATATATAATTATAACTCCCTCATAAAGGCAAAAAGCACCTGACAATCAGTGCCAGGTTATAAACATTGGTGGTTCATAAAAGAAATTTCTGACATTGATGCCGACTAATCAATTGATAGACTGATTGATGGTCAGATTGCTTTAGTGTGTATTAAATTAGTATTTAGTATTAATTATCATCAATAACATGTAAATCTACTATAAACTGTGGTAAACTGGCTTACTAGTCACAAGCTCACACTCTTAGCCCAACTTTGTGAGCGTATGTGGTTACCGTAGTTATTTCTGCAGCAAGATGTCAGGCGATTTCAGATAAATGCCTTCCCATTGCATTTTATCTTATCGAGCGTGGGAATTCATATCAAATAAATCTGAAGATTTGTTTCTGCTGAATGCAGACATTTGCGGAACCCATATTTCTTCCTCTATCTTCTTATCTGCCCCCAGCCCACGCCTCTGTCTCTCTGCTATAAAGCCTGCTCAATCTCCTTATTGGTCGGCACAATAAGTCCTTTTTTCCATACTGATCGAGCCGGATTGCACCGTGAAAAGGGTGAGCTCAGTGCTTGGCCCCATCCCATATGACCGGTTTAAGTAATCCGATTTTAGCCGTTTAAACTGGGCAGCAGAGAGCTGACACAATGACACTCAGATGACCTGTTGCTAAACTGAGGCAGTGTAAACAAACACAGACATCTAATGTGAGACGATACACACCTGGAGGGAGCGTCTGAAATGCTGAGTTTATCAAATGATATGGCACAGCTATTTACACTGCATCCAAACCAGATACAACAAAGCAACTCTATATTTTGTTGGTTGTTTGATTTCTATCTCTGCATTTACAGCCCAAAACTGAGAGCTCACTGGACCAAAACTCCACTCCTCATGTATAATAAACATCAAACACGGATGATCCAGGTGAGATTGATTGTGGAAGTTGAGAAAAATTACATATCAGTGTTAATATTGTTAAATCCATTACTAACTAAGGATTATTTATACACTATTATAGTATTTATTAATATTTTGAATTAGCTTTTATTTTTATATAATTAGTTTTCATTTTACATAAGGTTTTGGTAACTTTGTGCAAACGAGCTTTTGTCTATTTAGTTTTTTTATTAAAAAAATTATGTATAATATCTTTTTTATTTATATAGCTTTAACTCATTTTTATTTTAGTTTTAGCTTTAGTAATTTTGGCATGTAAACTTAAACTTTCTTTATTTCAGTTAGTTGCCAATCTAATTTTCTTTACGTTTTTTATCTATTTATATTTTATTTTCATGTTATTTCAGTTATTGAAAACTATTTTTAATAGTTTGTTTTTTTAGTTAACAGTAACACTAGAAAACAGAAAACTAAATGAAATTTAAACTACTTTTTTAGTAGAAAATTAATTTTTTATGACTCCAAAATGAACTGAAATAAAATAAAAATGGCCACAGATTGTTTAACATTTCAATGAAGTACACAAAGATAGAAAGAAAGAAAAGAAAGAAGCTGACAAGAAAAACAAAAATTAACCAGGCCATTGCACACAGAGTCCGAAATTTTCGTTCGAAATTTTCGCACATTTAAAAATAAATACAAGCTCACATTGTGTCAATCACGTTTACACACTGCCTCCGAAACTTTCGTCGGTTATAAAAAAAATTTGGATCAGGTTCGATTTTCTGCGTTTTCGCATCCGTAGCAAGCATTTTGCTAGGAAAAGATAACGAATACGAAAAAAATGAAAAAACGCATACGAAAATTTCTGACTCAATGTGCAAGGACCTTGAGGGCCAGATTTACTATCAGCTTACGCCAGCGCAAACCCTCATTTGGCATAAAAAAAAACTACTGTCAGGATTTACTAAAGACATGCAGTGGAAAATTAATGCTGAAAAGGCGTCATCAGTTATTTTTGCGACTCACCTTACTGAATATTTGTAGGAGTTTCCCTTTTGATCGGTAAATATATGCGAGGAGAGTATTTAAATGAATCACGCAATGTGATTTACTAAGATTTGCTCCCGTCAATTCACTGGTATTTGCGGCATTATTTATCGCCCCAAAAAAGCACGTCTTAAAGCAGGCGGTAATTTGCGCTGCTCTTGGTAGATTGCGCTGGTCATTATGGAAATGGGATGTTGCATCGGTGTTATTTAATGTGCACCTTGTCAGGAAATCACCCGCAGAATTTTCCCCTCCCATTGGCACTTTTATGGAATTACACTCTAACGCTAATTTTAACGCTAAAAATTAACTAATACATTAAGACACATATATGACAAATCCATCAAATTTCACAAGAAAAATCATAGAAATAATGATGTCCTTGATACTTCTACATACATTATGAAAATGACACATGACAAGGCTCCGCCTACAAGTAGTGACATCATCTAATTTTGCCGATGGAGACAGTGATGTTATTTTGATTTTTTCTGGGGTTTACTTTATAATTATTTTTTAAATTTACCAGCAATTTCTGAGTGAAAAATTGTTTACAAAACAACAAGTAACAAACTGAATTAAATGTGGAATGTTTAAGTAGAAAGACTGAAATGGTATTTTCTTGTAAAACACTCCAATAATCTTTCAAAATAATTTTTTCAATATTATCAAGATTGCAGAATAAGATTTTGCTGTATTACACTGCATTTTTGCTGTCTGTTTGTTTCTGGTTAGGACACAGTGTTACGGTCATTATGACCTGGACGGCATGTTAAAATATCTTCCAAAAGGTTTAAGTTTAGCAGAGCGTTTAAGTTAATTGCCTTGGTCCCATCATCCTCGGATGGCTGTATAAATAGCGATGGTCATCAAATGACTCACAATTTCAGACGTGAAGTGTGTGTGTTGAAGGGTGAGCAAGTGGCTGGGTGTGAGAGCAGATGTTGAAGTCATTGGACAAAGGCCCACACTGTGCTACAGCAGGCCTGTGTGTCAGCGGTCAGAGTTGGATGCTGTGAACAGTCAGCTGACCTTCCGCATGATGGACATTAGGTAGAGGTCTCACACTTAGGGTGGAGCTCAAGGACGTGACCAACAGAAAGATGGCAAACACAAGCTTGCTTGTCTGCTCCACACACACACACACACATGCAAAAGTATCACTTTAAGACGGGCTGAACAAGAGAGACGTGTGCTGGTGAGAGAGGTTTGGTTCATTTCCCACGCACTGGATTAAGCAGAACTGGGCAGACTGTGTCTCTTCCGAAATCCAGCTGGGCTTGTTTATTTGTATGTGTGTGTGAGCATGCTCACAGACAAACAGGAGCCAGTGACAAGAGCCTCTCTAGAGAACCAGCTTCCTCTGTCACAAGACACACACACTTTCCATGGTCTGTGCTTTAAAGGAACCTGCTTTAGAGAAGGAAGAACATTTAAGAAGGATCCAAAAATATTAAAATATTCTTTGTAGCCAACTATGTGACTCTAATTCATAGATCATTAACTGAATATGTCTCAGTCTCACACCGCCAGACCTTTGACTTGCCTTTGCGTCTGGTCCATATTGCTAAGACAAGATGAGACTGCCTGAGTGACACGAAAAAGAATAAAAGCACAGAGAAATTTAGTTTAGAAATTTATTTGGAACAGATGTTTGAATTTTACAGACTTCAGTCAAAGAAGAATCATTTATATTTATTATTATTATTATTTTTTTTTTAATCTTTTTGTTTTTATTTAATTATTATAACATTATTATTAAATAATAATTATACATTTAATAAAAATAAAGCATTAAGTTTTGGAATTTATACAAAGGAATTATAACAATACTAATAATTATATATATATGTGTGTGTATATAATAAATATAAACAAATAATATATATATAAACAATAAAAAACAATATCATGACTATATAAAGCTTGCACCATTTGATATAACACTGACTGAAGACGTACAGAAATACAGCAGTTTTAGAATTTATACAAAGATTCTATTATCATTATTATTATTATTATTATTATTAAATTATATATATATATATATATATATAAATATAAATGAATGAACATTAAACAACAAAACAAAGATCATATCAATCATTTATATGTAACTTATTTATTGTTATTAAGATTAATAAGATTTAATTTATTAGAATTAATGTTAAATAATAATAATAATGTATATATACAAAAAAAAAATTCTGCTGATACATTAATGAAAGATTTGTGTATTTGATTGAAATAGTTTAAAGTTTAACAACTTGATTCAAATAACATTTTACATAATACTTCTAAATCTTTAAAAATAGCAGCACATGACAGCATTGTAACATATCAAGAGCGAAAATGTTAAGCTTACGTCTTTATGAAACTCAATTTTCAAAGCCGTAATGACTACACAAATTGCACCCCAGTTTTAGTTCATAATAGCAACTTTATATTGGACGTCCATAATGAAGGGTTTGTAATCATGTTAATCTAAATAGAGATGTTTGTCATTGACTTGTTTATGGAATTCAAAAACAAACACAAACATACATTCAATAGTGTGCAGGGAGCAGTCGATGAGAAAACTGCTG